AGATCTGGCCGTCGACGCCGCAAAACTCCATCTACGGCGTGACGGCCAGATCTGGCAGTAGATCGGCCTTTTTCGGCCAGATCAGCCGGATCTGGCCGGAAAAGGCCAGACTGGCTGCTGCTTTGACGGCCAGAATTGCCTTTTCCGGCCAGATCCTGGCGGATTGACGGAAAAGGAAAGATCGGCACGTTACGATACAGATCCGGCGGATCTGTGTCGTAATGCAGTTTTCGGGCCAGATTCCGGCGATGGTGGCCGGAATCTGGCACTAGGGGTGGTGGGGTGTTTTTGTTATTTAACAAACTTTTTATATATGGGGGTGTTTAATTAAATTAGCAAACCTAGGGGGTTTTTTAGAATTTTTAAATTTATAAAAAACTAAAATTGAAACTTTGAAGGGCATTTTAGTCTTTTCACTATTAATAAACAAAAATCACTAACAGAACATGACGGAAGGTACCTATTTGTCGTTTCAAAATTTTTTGAGTATCGACTTATCGTTACGGTAAACTTTGGGTATGCACAAGTAGTTCGGCCTACAAAATAATATAGAAGCTAAAATAATTGATGGGCCATGGTCCCAGTTGGTTTAAGGATTGTAGGGAGTTGAATAGTTGATGTGAACAATACAAAGAGTGAAGTAAAGAAGGTGTGTTCTTTATGAGTCATGTGATGGGCAGAGCTTTTAAATCATTAAACATCGTTATGGGGAAGATGAAATTCTCTGACAAAATTAAGGCAAAGTGTCCTTAAAAGAATTGGATGATACCTACACTTGGTATTAAAAGTTGCCGCAAAATTATTCTCTCCTACCTTGAGTAGCTCCCAAGTTAAACAATCTTATCAGGTAAAATTTGGGTCAACCAGAAAATTTTCAAAACTGTTGGGGTTATTTTATGATAAACAAAAGGGGTGCTTTAATTTTCTTACCCTTACTGGTGAAAATCCAGTCAAGTATGTAGTTACTCAAACTTGACTTGATTACTACAATACCCATTTCGCGCCTAACCGAACCTAGGGAATCGAGTTCAAATTCAAACTCGATACTTAAAATTAGAATTCAAATCGAGTTTGAATTCGAACTCTTATAATCGATCTTAATCAAGTTTTAATCGAGTTTAATCAAGTTTTTCGAACTTAATCAAGCTTTTTCATCTTTTCGAGTTGAGTTGTACAATGATGGAACTCAACTCGTATCAATATTCGAGTTATTTGAGCTCGAGCTCGACATTGTCGAGTCCAGCCCGAGCCAATGCCGAGTTGAGCTTGAGCCGCTTGCGAGTGGCTTGGCTCGGTTTTTGCCCCTACTTAAGGTACTACCATATCCCGATATCCGTTGCTTTTTTGATATTACAAGAAACCTGGGGGGTTGATGTACTTTTGCTTTATTTATTTATTTGTCTGTTTGTTTTTATTTTTATTTTTATAATCCTAATTAACCAGAACACAACCTTTGGTATGAAGGGATGTGGCAAGGGAAGGGATACCTTGAACATAAAGAAAATGGCTATTCTAATCATATTTGGAAATGGGTTATGTATATTTTTTAAAGATGACATTGTTATCTCATTCATCATGTCGTCTTATCATTTATATGTATATGTAAGATTTATACCACAGAATTCTTAGTGTTAGAAGGTTTAAACCCCACATTTAGTTAGAATATTCCCTTAAATATAAGTGATGGTCCAACACCAAAATGATGATAAGCAAAGTAAGTACCTAACGGATCGTTTTAATTGGGGGTCCATGAAAAGATTTAGGTATTGATTGTGAAAGAGAAAGTCTAAAGCTGCCGAGTTGTTCATTTTGTCCATTAATAATAATAATACTGGAAGCAGGTGTAATTGCTTTCCATGCACACTCCATTCCATCGTAATAACTAGCACTAGAATAGAAACACAGAAAACTGGTGAATGAATTGGGTCTCAGTCCCACCTAACCAAAACTTGGGTGGGCTAGGTTTCAACGACCGCATGCAACTGACAAAAGACACCCGCAATAAGACAACATCACCTAAATTTTGAGTCATCATGTGGCAAGAATTATAACATGGCCTAGTGTTCAACAATGGGCCACTAAGCNCTCGGTTTTTGCCCCTACTTAAGGTACTACCATATCCCGATATCCGTTGCTTTTTTGATATTACAAGAAACCTGGGGGGTTGATGTACTTTTGCTTTATTTATTTATTTGTCTGTTTGTTTTTATTTTTATTTTTATAATCCTAATTAACCAGAACACAACCTTTGGTATGAAGGGATGTGGCAAGGGAAGGGATACCTTGAACATAAAGAAAATGGCTATTCTAATCATATTTGGAAATGGGTTATGTATATTTTTTAAAGATGACATTGTTATCTCATTCATCATGTCGTCTTATCATTTATATGTATATGTAAGATTTATACCACAGAATTCTTAGTGTTAGAAGGTTTAAACCCCACATTTAGTTAGAATATTCCCTTAAATATAAGTGATGGTCCAACACCAAAATGATGATAAGCAAAGTAAGTACCTAACGGATCGTTTTAATTGGGGGTCCATGAAAAGATTTAGGTATTGATTGTGAAAGAGAAAGTCTAAAGCTGCCGAGTTGTTCATTTTGTCCATTAATAATAATAATACTGGAAGCAGGTGTTATTGCTTTCCATGCACACTCCATTCCATCGTAATAACTAGCACTAGAATAGAAACACAGAAAACTGGTAAATGAATTGAGTCTCAGTCCCACCTAACCAAAACTTGGGTGGGCTAGGTTTCAACGACCGCATGCAACTGACAAAAGACACCCGCAATAAGACAACATCGCCTAAATTTTGAGTCATCATGTGGCAAGCAATATAACATGGCCTAGTGTTCAACAATGGGCCACTAGGCCCACTAATCCATTTTTTTTTTTTTTTATATGACAGGGGTGTTCGAGACAACTTGTGTGCACCTTAACTAATATTCTAAGACTTTGGAACTATCGGTCTGGTAAGAGACCTAGTGATCATCACCTATTAGGGGGTCAAAGTGAATCGAACTCATAATTTATTGAGTAATACACCTAAAAATCCCAATTGACCACTCAGCCATCCCGTCATGATTCACTAATCCAAATTTTATTTCTCTTAACAATAAAATTTGATTATATTTTTCAATAATATTACTTCTCCCACAATTTATCTCAAATTTCACGTCTCAAATAATGTGACATCATATTGACATATTGACTGGATTTATATAAATCCTTTTAGTGTATACACAAAATTTGAAATGTTTTGAGTTTACAACTATGTCTCGCAAATTATTTGTTCTAATTATAAGATTGTTTTTTTTTTTTTCACATATTTTTTATTAGTTCATAAGAACAATATTGATGAAGAATTTTTTCAGTTTAGTATTCAAAATCTCTCTTCATGGCTGCATAGATTAGCTAGTTGAGTTTTCCCTCGGCTCTTCCTTTGGTTATATACCAACTAGGGGTGGACAAAAAATTAGGGTGGAATTAGAACCGATGGGTACTTGAGTTGTTGGTTTCGATTCCCATCCGGAATCGGTTGTGATAGGGTTGATTCTGGTTCTAAAAAACTAGAATCGATACTATGCGTTTCGGTTTCGGTTCCACCTTATGGGAACTGGGAATCAGAATCCGAGCTGAGATTCGGGTACTTATGTATGAATCGGTTTGGGAACTAGGGGTGTATTTGTAAATTCTGTAAACCATTGGGGGTGCATATAATTTTTGGAGGGTTTATTTATCATTTTTTTTAAATAGGGGGTAATTAATAACCTGGATACTCGAAACCAATCTATTCTAGTTCTGATTCCTTTGAATTTGGGTGGATACCTGGACCTATCCACCCCTAATACCAACACACCTACTTCTGTTAGTGGATTAGCTCAAAAGCGTCTGCGTATTATTAAGCCATATATCAAGATCTTAATATTTTATCAAGACAAACTTTGTACACCTTGAGAAGAAGCCCATACAAGTATACCAGAGATATATAAGTATGTTGATGCGTGATTTTGACACCAACGACCTTGCATGTGCAAATGCAAAGTGCTAAGTTGGCCTTAGAAATTATACGTGATTGATTGATTTAAGATTTAGGGCGACATTAAACAATATCATTGAATGCAAAGACCAAAGAATAAATAAGACAGAATATTTTTATAGTGGTTCGGATGCTTAAAGCGATTCCTATATCTACTATTTCTTTTATATAAGTGAGTGTTACAAGATATCACGTATAGTTAACAACGAGCAGAGGTACAATAACTGAGTATTCAGAGAGAATATTAAGTCAATCTCTTTCCCGTATGTTGTCTTTGCTATTAATTGTTATGAAAGTAAAGATCCCGAAAATGAGAGGGGGAGTCCTCTATTTATAGTAGCTGAATTAAAGGTAATGACTACATATCTGCAAGTGGGTAGATGTCGTACAAGTATTTCCTTGCCTTTCATGGACTGATAACTTAAGAAATATTCTCAAATTATCTAGGGTTTGGACAGATGTGCGACCCTCATTCACTCATAGACAAAACTTAAATTTGCTGAGTTGGTGACAACCGTATTCTCTCTATATTGGGGCGACGTGGCAGACTCTGGACGACACAAAGCCTTCATGAACTCTGATTGGTGCTTGCTGATGTAAGCTTGCGTCTACCTTGATTTTTTAGGCATAACAAAGTATATAACATAAAATAAACCAAATCGGATACATGAATATTTGGTTTGATAACCTGCTACAAATTTCCTATCATCAAATCTGAAAATTTTCCCTCTAATTAAAAGAATATACCTTTGTTTTGTCTTCAAAATGCAGCAAAACATAAACAAAACTGCTAAATTTTTAATTAATACATTTGCCCAGTTCGATTTTGAAGTCTGTGAGTGGGCCGAATTCAGTCCAAATCAAACTCAACTATTGGCCCAATCCGGCCCGTACATACATAAACAAAAGGGTCTTAAAAATTTGTCAATTTAGGGTTTTAGATTTTAGTTTTCAATTTTCTGTTCAAGAAACCCCACAAATGGCGAAGAATAGAAACAAGAAGAAACGAACAGGCGCTGTTTCAATGGACGTGACCGAACCAACTGTTTCAGATATGGTTCAAGGTACCTATTAGTATTTCTCTCAAATTTTCAGATATGAACATTTTAGTTTTATTTTTTAGTTTTCTATACTTTGATAGTCTTCGTTTAGATGTATTCACTATTTTGTTTCGATTTATATAAATTGCAGCAATGGACACTTCAGAATCTGGAGCTCAAAAGCAAGCTTCTAGTATGCTCAATATGTAAGAATATAACAAGTAACAACTACTCTACTGCTTATAAGCAATGCTAAATAATTATTAGTTTTGTTCGCACATAAGCACAGAATAGGTTTTGGTTGTGTTGTTAATTTATCATGTAAAGGACCTGAACTTATTAGATGGAAGTTGTCGGTTTGCTAAGATTAAGTAATGTTGACATAAAGCGTTTTACTGTAGAACTAATAGGAGTTTTTGAATATTGCTTTTAACTATTAACTTGAATTCAATTAAAGGAATTTTTTTTTTCTTTTTCTTTTGAGTTAGGACTATATATATGTATACATCAATACCCTCTAGGGTTGATGTTTATATTTTTTTTTCGTAAAGTTATATCTCAACTCTTGGAGGGATATCAGTGGGAGTTTGTAAAATTTTGTGTTTGCACTCTCTTACTCGAGAGTTGAGGTGTGGATTTTTAAGAAATGTAGACGTTTCCAAATAGGACATATATATTTGAATGTTCTCAAGTTTAGACGTTTGCAGTTTTTTTTTTTAAAATCTACATCTCAACTCTTGGATGGAAGAGTTGATTGGGGTTTATAGAGTTTTTTCTTCAACTCTTTCCTTCAAGAGTAACTCCTCCTTTTGAGACGTAGGTTTTAATTTAAAAAAAATTGCAAACATCTAAAATTAGTAGATGTTGCCAACACAGAGGAGATGAAGACTGTAAAATTGATATAATGTAGGCCATAGGAGTAGCTTAGTGGGATAATGTGCTTGAGATTTGGGTCCTTATGAACACTTGTATCTCAGTGTTCTTGAGTAGTTATTTCTTTGGATTTCTGATGAATATTACAGGTTAATCCTGTTAGTAGATTTGTATCTATTTCATTTGTCCAATGTGAGAAGATGATGACTAATTCTGAGCCTTTTTTGAAGCAGAAAGATCAAGAAGGAAAGACCAATGAAGAGGTCAAAGAATGTGCGAAAGAAGAAAGCCATAGAAAAAGCTATATCCAAAAATGATAAGTATGTCGAGAAGACTTTGAAGAAAGAAAGCAAATCATTGAAAACTCAGTCTGCTAAAAAACTATACGAATGATTCTGATTATCAAGGTCATTATCGTGAAAGGGGCTCCAAGAGATACCATTTATTTTCTTGAAAGTAATTTACATTGCTAGAGTATAATATTTATTTATTGGTAGAGTTGTAGAATTAGTTGAATGTTTCAATATCCAACTTATGGAATTGTCATTTCGATCCTGTCAATATTCTAAAAGGTCCGGATGTATAGCATAAGCATTTTCAATTAAATTTATTGTGATAGGATATTGTACGACGGTGAAGAGAAAACAAAAGCCTTCATGCATATGAGTTTTGAGTTCAAATGACTGAAGGAAATTTGTTCCTCATGTTTCAATGATTGATGCATCAGATTTTCAACCTATTTAGTTATCTTTTTATTGTTCCTATGTAGTTTATTTGGATTTTGCTCTATTTTTCACAACTCGAGAGCAAATTTCGGTAAGTAGGCCTTATACCAAGCCTTTTTGTTTTGGTCAGCCCTTCAGAATGAAGCTAAATTTGATTTGGGGAGTGGAGTTCTGGGCTGGGCTCTGCAAATTCGGACTAAAAGTTAATCCTTGTCGCCTGTCGAGGATTTTTGAACACATTGCCCAGATCAGATGTCAAACACAAAAAAACATTTGGGTAAGGGAAAGTTCAATATATATTAATTTTTCAAATCTGCTCTCTCTCTCTTCCTTCCTTCCCTAAATTACCATTATGATGATGATTTTGAAAATATACAAGTAATATAATACATTCATTTCTTAAGATTGTTTTGTTTCACTGTTCAAAAGAATAGTAATTATTTTTAATCTTTGGCGAATTATTGAATTTTATTGTTATTTAGTACATATTTCTTAAACCAACTACAATATCCACTTTTTACTGGTTATATATATAATTTTATAGGGGTTTCAATAATTTTTGCATAAATTTTTTTCCAGTCGGGGATTTTAATTGTTTACAGAAATATTGGATGACTATAAAATTTGAAAATCCCTTAAGGGCTTCACAATAATTACCCGTTGCAAAAATCAAAGTAGACTTTTTTAATATACCCCTTTTTACGTCAATTACAACATAATTTTATAAAGATATAATTTATTTGTTTGGAATAAAGAAATGGACAAACATCCCTCAATTGGTTCAGTCACCTAGACTCATATTTTCTTACTCCTGCTTGCTCTGTTCTCAATATTCATAAAATTTGGTAAGCTTAAACCTATAGCACATTGAATGCAATGAGACAATATTTGCCCCTTTAAAGAATTAATATGAACCCTTCTTTAGTAACTCACAAATGATATTTATTGCAAAAATATTTAAATGGAGTAAACATATTTATTACAGCCTTCAGAGATGTTCTGGCAACTTCACTGGCTGCATGCATGCATGCATGTATCTAAACTTTTAACCAAAAAGAGAATTTATAATTTAACTCATGACATTGTTTTGCTTAGTTGTAATTTAATTACCTTACTTTATATATCAAATGTTTATTTGGAATAATGATTATTTTTTTACATGAAATTATTTTGTATAGATTTGAGTGAGCACACCATATTTTGTCTCGTCGTATGATTGTTGACAAAACTCTGACAAATGACATCATACAAAACCGTCGAAGCAGCTTGTTTCTATCTATTAAACTTGTCTTATTTGTCAAGTATTGTCACTGCATCACTGTCATTTTCACTCTAATTCTCTTAAACTCTTCATAGTTTTCAGTAAAAAACAAAACACTTCAGAGTTCTTCAAGCTTCTTTCAATGGCTTCTTCTTCTTCATCAGCTTCCATGAAAAGGATCTGCTTTTACTGCAAGACTGTCTCCACCATCCTCAGGCCTGGTTGGCGCCTCCGGAATGGCTGCTCTGCTCTGCTTTGTATCCGTTGCGCGTACGCTCTTTTACATCTTCTTTTAATACATTTTTTGTTGCATGTTACGTTTCTGTTGTTCAATGTAAAGTTGTTGTGTAATTACTTATATGGATGGTGATGGTTTAATGTGTATCTTTCATTGTTATAGCCAAAACTTTTTTTTAACTTAGAAAAGTGGTAATGAAATTTGCTTTGGCGTTGAGCTTAGAACATTGAGTTAGAAAATCGGTATGCAGGGGATGTTTTGGATCAATATTGTGAAATTTTATGGGATGTGTTGATGGAATTTGAAGGAGGGTTCATGATGATTTTTAATATTTTAAAAGAGTTTTATTTTGATTTTCAAAGTATGAGAGTTTAACTATTATTAGACTGAAGAGGCTACTTTTCAAAAGAAAAAGATTCACAAAAAAAAAAAAAAAAAGGTTTAATTATTCACAAAGTGCATGTAATTTAGATCAACGGGGACTAAAAGATTAAAGATGTTTCCTGTGTTTTTGATAATGATTTGAAAAACATTCCAAGCTCTGCTTTTTTTTTTTTTGGGTCCAAAACTCTTTTGATACAAGTCAACTTTTTTTCATTTATTTATTTTTTATTTTTTATATATTTTGGGAGAAACCATGTTTCAGTTTTCAAACATGCCATCACACAATTTTGCTGATATTAACACTAAAAAATTCAATTTTTCGTTTAAATTCCATAAAAGGGAGTTCTTAAAATCATTGGTATGCAAAGGGGAGCAGGCGGCTATTCTTTGTGTCTACTGAGGGAAAGGGATAAGTTAAAACAATTGTTGTCAATGGGTCATGGGTAGACTAATGGAGTGATATTAGATATACAATTTGAGTAAAATTACAATGGACTCTGTCTCTCTATCTCAGGTAAGAATGAACAGTGGAACAAGAGAAAAGTTACTAACGAATTTTTCAAAGTAGTACAATTTTATACTCCCATCATCTGCTTTTTATTTACTTGAGTTAGGTTTTTTTTATTTTTTTATTTATTTTTTGTAATCTTCGAAGGGAATATAATAAAGGGGAGGGGAATATGTTGGATCATTACTTGTCCATATTGTATGGATTGGAAGAAAAATAATTAGAAGTAGTTAGTTGCTGACTACATTTTAATCTTATTGTAACTAGTTTAGATTTTGGAAATGCAGCTTTTTCCTTCAATAGTCAAAATTCTAGTACCAGGGCGTCTAAGTCTTTAAGATATATGCTCTTTTGTTCCTTTTGTGGAGTGAAACATTAGTAGAAAGATAGTGACATTTGTATTAGTCTACGCTAAGTAAACTTTCTTACCGTATATCAGTCATCCATAGAAGTTAAAAATATTCCTTGTTCTATTTTTGAGAGATACGGAATTAATCCATGTTGACCAACTACTAGATTGTAGCCAAATGGCGAACTGAAACCTAACAAATGCCAAACTAAATCAAAATTATTTTCAAACCTAATTTAATTGTAATCATTAGAATATGGGAGAGTTCTTGACATTTTGATGCCTCACCAATAAAATTAAGATGTATGCCTTTTGTCAGAGATGGTTAATTTCCACAGGTGTTACTGTATATGCCAATATGATAGTTTGGTTATTGTTTTAAAAAATTATGAACCAAAACTGAATTTTGAAAAGTTTTGTTGGGTTTGGTTTAAAGGTTAACATTGATAAGGAGTTGATGATAGAGTTATAGTAGAAACTTCTTTGTTCAGCTTCACTATTCTAGTTGATGATCACTACTCTTTTTTTGAACACACCTAAAAGGAGTTAATGTTATCCTTTTTAATCATGTTGAAGAAGAAGCTGAAGAATGAAGTGAAGAGAAGTTTCTTTAACCGCCATTATTGAAGGCCTTTTGGCTAATCTTAGCTTATTGTCCTTGTGGAGACACAAAGATTTGGAGATCCTGGAAGAATTTATAAAGAAAAAAGATACAGATGGAGATTGAAGGGAGTGAAATTTAATTTCCATTGTTCACTACATCATCATTGTCATTGCTTTTATTCCTCTTTTGACAATGTAAATCTCCGTTTACTTTTTTCCCTTGTTTTTTTGTTTTATAATTTGCAACTTGGAGAACTATCGATGCATTATATTATTCTTCGGAATGAGGTTTATGATAGAAATCTTCTTTCTTGAAGGATGAAAGGAAAGTTTATACATTTCAACCAAGAAAAAATTTGTGAAAAGACATCATATTTTACTGTGCAAAGCCAAACAACCACAATAGAAAAAGTTGAATGCATTGAAAACAAAAACAAAAGTGAAGTTAGCCTTTACCCTGGAGATTTTGATTCTTGGAGGAGGACATGGAATCATTTCTCTAATGTACTTACAATCAAATTTTTGTTATAGTTATTAGTCATTCATAATCCATTGTGTGAAGAGTACTGAAATCTCTAATTGATGCAACATACTTGCTTAGTAGGAGTTCAAGCTGAAGTGCCTATCTTGTGGAGTGAAAAATTAATTCCATTACTTAAATATACTATGTAAAAAAGTTTGAGTTAGATATTATTTCTTATTTCTTTTAATGAAGGCCTCAGTTAACGCTTTAGGAAAACAGGTTTTGTATGGCAACACCAAATATGCTTGGGCAATGTGTTGTTTAGCTGTGTGTTAGATTGTCTTTAAAAACATAGGATGCAACTCTAAAAATTAGTGCCAATTTTGAAAATATGCAAGAGAATTTTCTGTGTCTTTGGAAATTACAGCTGCATGATTTTAAGAACACGCTGCAAAAGTGCTATACCATCTCTAGTTTTACCCGTCTTTTTGTTCTCTCCTCTTTTGGACCTTGCAGGTCTGCTATCTTTTTTCCCTAGTGCAACACTTCTATCTCTCTTTTCATAGTTTATAGCCTTTTATTCCCTCTTTCTGTCATTTTAAATGCTAGTACGAATGCACTTTTACTGTCATTATTGTAAGAGGTATTTTTTTGAGTTATGCGATTGACCACTTTATTGAATCTTGTAAATACACAATTTTGCCAATTTGTTTTTAGAAACTATTTTACGTAACATTATCTGACATACCTCAAGTTTTCTATCTTTTAGAAAATTAGGAAAGTAATTGAATGATAAAAATGACTCTAAAAAGAAGAGTTCGTCGTTTTTATGCATATAATTTAGTATTGTTAAGCGTCCTAGTTTTCTCTTCAAAAATTTGAACCAGCTGCTGTGTTTGCTAGATCTGTTTCTTGGGTTGTTTGTCTCACACGAGGAACATAGTGTGGACAATGAAATGACTGAAAAATTGTATTAGAGTTACTAGGTTTAGGTAAACATTTTGTGCAATGAAGCAATTTCCCTTAAAATGAGAAAGGGTGAATATGTAGATCGAGAAGGAAATACTTATCCATGTGCGTGTCTGAGTGTAAATCCATGTGATACGTATGTAAATTAAATTTGCTATTTCACATGAGGGGGCATGTTCGAGGTTAAATACTATTATCAACATACTTTTTTCAGCTTAAGTTTTTGGGTTAAGTGGTGTCTCAACGAATGTAATTTGATAACAAACTTAGATTAAGGTTGAGGAAGATTATATAGATATTTATATTTCTTAGGAGCTGCAGTTTGGATCTTTACACCTTAAAAGAAGCGATTTGTGTGAGCTAAACCACATAGTATTGTGCCTTCTATTGCTTAGGTGAGATAATGTTATTTTGGCTTCACACATTAAAACGACGTCGCTTTGATACTACTTTTATAAAATCACATCCAGCAAATCATTTTTGGCCTTTTCCCCCTACATACCTTTTCTGATTTGAAATCTTTCTTCCTCTTTCTATCTTTTATTGCAACTTTGGAGAATATATACAGATCTTGTTCTATAAATGATTAGTATTATAGAAGTGAATAATCTACACCAATACCATGTAGTTCTTTTAGATAAAGAACTCATTATACAGTTACTATATAGGCATATGAATTAGTTTCTTTATACTGTTGGCTGACTGTGATGAAAAATTCTCTTTTATGCATTTATTAATGGCTAATGATGACTATTATCTGGTTGGAATTCTGCCAAAGTAGCAACTTTAATCTGCTTAGAGTATTTATTGCTTGTAAATTATACCGTGGTGATTAAATTGATTCATATTTTTCTAAATTTTTATGTTCTCAATTGATGTAGCAAACTTGTGTATTTAAAAGCATCCTAAAAATACTTAACCTGACTTTCTTATCCTATCTGTTATGAAAAACTGACTTAGAAGTTTGCAAATCTAGTTCTGCTTATGAGGAAGGAAGATTCTGCAATATTTTTCACTTGGATGCCAGTGGTTGGAGAGATTGTGTTACTTGTAAGAAGGTGAGCTGAAAACGTCTGCACATTTGCTTTTATCTTATAAGTTGTTTTACCACCTAGTCTGAGACATTCTTTCCTACCTATATAGGTGGTTATGTGGTAATTTCTGGATGTGACATCACCTCGGTTACTGGAATGAACTATGCTAAATTGTTTGAATATACTAATATTTATTTATGCAGATTGTTCACTGTGGATGTATCATGTCAACCCATACACATATCGAATTGGATTCTGGAGGTGTAAGATGTACTGAATGCATATCAAATGATATCCTTATGGTAAAAATAATCTATTTGTCCCTTAAATTTTAAATTTCTCATTATTTTTAAGTATTTAACTCTAATAATTATCACCACTTTATTAGTTAGCAATGCTTTTCTCGCATTTTGTGCAGACACTCTTCCATATATATATACATTATATTTAACTTGAAAAACCTAATATTTGTAATTATTTACATTGTTGACCATATTGTGTTCAAGATTATTGGATACCTTTTGCAATTACCTGCTCATGGCTTACTTTTCTATTATATTTGCACTTTAAATTCCATTTTTTTCTATGGGTTGAAAGTCATGATATGTAATTTGAGAGATTGGATAAAGCACGTGATTTCATCTTGTAACCTCTGAGTAGAACAGCATAAATATCAGCAGATGCCTTTAAAGGATGGAAATTTACATTCATAATGATTAGACGATAGATTTGACGTTTTATCATCCAGAAAAGTCACAATACTTCTAATTAATTAAGTGATTACCAGATTCAAGTTTAATTGAAGTTTGTTGGTTACTCTGGGATGTGTTAATTTACTTCAAAACTGTTTATTGTCCTTTAGTTCCCAAATATGAAGTGGCACCATACTAAGTCCAAATGTTGTATTACAGGGAGCAAACAGTCGCAGATTCCAATTCAAGAATGCTCGTCCCAGGACTCTGCGAGACCTACCAGAAGTTAGACTATGTGTTGACTTGGGCAAAGTGATCACTGGTGATTGTCAATATATCATGACCTTGGAAAATAGGGAAACTGATAAATCAGTTAAATGTTGCAGCTAATTGATTTTCTTTTCTTTGATAAACTTGTACCTAATTTCTCTTGAAAAATTTCATTTCGTATTTGGTATAATGTGGAAATTACTTATTTTATCATCTATAAACCAAAAAAGTAATGCATAGCAATATTTAGATTCCTTTCTCTCCCTATACTAGCAATTGCTAGTTTTCGACTAGAATGGAAATAGTGATTACTGAGCCTAGCCGGTCACACCTGTTGCAGGGATCACTTATGGAACATCATCACAGGAAGATGCATGTGAAAGTAGAGAACAGCTGTACACTGATTCACCTGATGGAGTTAATATATCTGACAGTTCTACTGTTAATAAGAAGCCTCAAAGTAATGGTCTTAGGAAAATCCATTCATATCGTCGATACTTGCCTGAGGCAAGTGATGAGGATATGCAACAAATCAGAAAACAGTATCCGCTACTTCTTAGTATTATTTTGGTTTCTTTGCACTTGTTTAGATGAAAAAATTAACTAGGAATCTGATAATCATGATTGTATAAGCGGTATGGTAACTTTACTAATTAATCCGTTGTTTTGAATTAATTTTTATACTAAAAAGCTTTGCGTAATTTTAATGTGAGATTGCATTCTGTGTCATATGCTTCTCAGTCTTGTCTTCCTATGAACAGGATCCTTGACAACATCTCAGCTCAAATTCCGTTGTCATTCCTTTGTTTGAAAAGGAATTGACTATCAGTGATGCAGATTCCAGGAATGGGCGACTGGTAATACCTAAAAAATGTGCATGGGTGAGTTTTTTTTCTCTTTCTGCTGTTTAAGACTGTAGCTTTAAAAATTTTCAAACCTAAGGGTTTTTTTAATGTTATCAATTTTGAAAGTTTGTGCTGTTTCTATATTTGGTAATAAAGGTTTTACAAGTACAATGTGAAGGGTGATATCTTAAGTTTTGAGATAGGCCGAGTCTTTGTGCTCTTTTTTTTTTTTACTTTTAAATGTTTACCACGAAGATGATGTACCCTTGTCGTGGCTTGAGTCTTGTTACTGAATTTTTGATGTACCCTTGTCATGGCTTGAGTCTTGTTACTGAATTTTTGGGAGAAACAATTTCTATGATTCAATTGTGTTTTGCATAATTTATTATTATTTTTTACTTCTTAATATTCTTTCCATGAATATCTTTCAATAATTTCTATGAAGGAAATAAAATAGTTAAAACTTATTTAAAGTTTAAAGCTTACTTTTGCTATTATATTATTATGTAATAGCAAAAGTATGCTTTATGATTTCTTTTAATATTTGCGTATCTGGAATCTTGGGGTTTAAATGTTTTCTGTTAATGGTTACTGACAATGGTACAGGATTATCTTCCAAAAATTTCTGAGCCCCAAGGATTTCCCATTAAAATCCAAGATACTGGTGGAAAATACTGGAATTTTCACTACCGGTTTTGGCCCAACAGTCACAGCACAATGTATGTTCTAGAAGGAACTAGAGATTACATGGCTGCGAATCAATGCCAACCAGGTGATAAAGGTACTTCATTGAATTCCATGTGCATTTATGATTGGCTTGTTATTTTCTTTAGACAAATTATGTCAATCAACTAATTTGTTCATGTTTGAATTTGCATTTCAATGATACTTGTTGTCTTTTCATCCTATTCTTTAAGCTTCCAAGTCATGATTAGTACAGCTGTACAGATGTTGAATTTTTTGTCTATACGCATTGATTTCCTGGTGCTTCCAACTGAATTACATATGTGAATCAGTTTCTATATGATACTAATGTCAGTCGAGTTCCTTCTTCAAGTACCTTTACTCATCTAATACTTTCTTGTGTCTGGAAAATGTTTTGAAAGTTTTTGAGGTGTTTATTCCAATTTGTTTATGAGATCATTCCTACCCATGAGCATATGATTCGTGTTATAGAGTAACTAAGAGTTGTCTGGACTTTTCAGTTACATTTTATCGGATAGATCCAGAAGGACAGTTGGTCATGGGATTGAAAAAAGCTCAAGCAAGTACATCAGATCAAGAGGTATGACATACAGAAACAACCAAATCTCTTTATTAGCATGTGGATATGACCAGGTCAATGTTGATTCAATAGCATTGTAGGTGAATGACAAATACCCAGGGTTAAAGTAAACACAACCTTATACACACACACACAATGCTTTTTCCTGGAGGACCCAAACTATGCAATGTTGGTTTTATGAATCATGAGTGATACATCAAGATTTGAGATTACTTGACCATTGACTTGTAGGATGACTATCAATCCTCAACAAAACCATGCCTAATTTGTAGGAGGTATTGACTGAAAGGGTCTTCCCATGTCTCTTCTCTCTTGGTATTTGTGGGTGGTTAGAAAAGAAAAGTTTTTCTCTATTGGTTTCAATATCCAAAAGCAGTAGCCTGATGTGACCTCCACATCAAGATAGAATTACCTTTTAATAACCTGGACTGATGAGATGCTGCATAAATGGTCTTAGCTCATAAATGCTCACTCCCTTGGGACTGCATACTTGGGATATTGTAACCTATAAGTTTTCTGACTAACACTAAAGGGCCCAGTTTAGAGTTTGGTGAACTTCAGAGAAAGTTGGGATGCTGGGTTTACCCAAAAAAAAAAAAAAAAAATTGGTGAACTTCAGAGAAAGTTGGGATGCTGGGTTTACCCAAAAAAAAAAAAAAAAAAAAAAAAAAAGAGGTTAGTAAGGATATGGACTTCCAATTCCTCTTAGTACATGGCTGAAGACATGTATGGGGAAGTGTTGATTTTGATGGCTTCCATTGTTTCCTTTGATTAGAAAAGAGTGAAATATGATCATGGTGTCAGATATTTGCAATTTTTCATACTACCATTTGGTTACATATAACTAAATGATGACTGGTAGCTCTATGAAGTACTTAGTTGACTTATTTCCTTCCAAAGTTGTTAAAACTATCTATGTTTCAAGTTCTTGAAATCTTTTCACTCGTCTTTCAGTTTATTCTGCATCATGTGTATATTTGTTCCTACACGAAATTGTTTATCTAGAATTTTAGTTATTTATTTATGTTCATCTAACAGAAAAATCCAGAGAGTTATGGGCAGTACATGCTGAGAACAAGAGAGGTAAATACTTTTCATTCATTTGTAAAATTTTTTTATAGACTTATGATGTTACAATGGCAGTTTATAGTTTACTTTTATATTTACATTTGCCAATGTAAAAAATTAATTATCGTGAAATTTTGTTCCTTTTCCAGAGTTCAAAATGATGTTCCAAAACAAAGATTATTGTCCTTTCAAGACTGTTGTGAACTTGTGCTTTCCATGGATACTAGTGAAGCTGGTTGTCGGTGTGAGACTGAAGCTGGTTGTCGGTGTGAGACTGAAGCTGGTCTTTCTCCCGTAAACTTAAATTATCCTTTTCCCTTTATTTATGAAACCATCCTAGTTACAAGTAAAACAAATTTGCTGTTTTATTTTGTAGTTTCTTGGATAGCTTTCATGGAGAAAACTTATGTTACATTTTTGGATTTCCTTTGGTAATGAAAGCATTTTGTTAGTAAAGGTGAGGTTTTTAAGGAGCTATAACAATGAACCAAAGTACAAAATGAAAACCCTTTGTTCGGGTGGGTATGAAGTATCGAGTAATAAACAGCCATAGCTGAAATAAACATGAATTGATCTCTTTTCAAAAACATATACAATGTGAATGCAAAAAGTGCACAAAACTCGAATCTTTAGACAACATGAAATAGATCTTCCTATGTCAGAGAATGCTCTAAATCATTATTATGCAGTTATCTTGAAGTGTCTGTTGACAGTTGACACGAGGATTTCTGTGTTTTTTTCTTTAAAACTTTTATTTTTGAGGTGATAATGGGCAAGGTTGGATGAGCAGAAGCTACTACAAGGTGTAAGCCTGAACTGAATGGCCTTGATTTTTTTTTTTCCAATAATGTATTTGAGACCTTCACCAAGCAAAGAATAGTCCTAAGCCTCCAAAATGTTCCACCTCAAATAAATTTTTATTTGGGAATGATTAAAATTAAGGGATATTCAATTTGATTTAAATTTTTGTGGATTATATTATCTACATAGTTGTAATCCTATAGCTTAATGTTTAATCTTTAATGTGTAGGATTCTTGTATTTAATTTAGTATAGCTAGTCTTACTAGATCTATGATTGCATGTCCACAGACTGCAGTGCATCAATGATGAGTTATAATCAATCTAGAAAATCTGTTAGACTTAAGCTTGTAATCTCGTAGTATCATGAATGACAATCAGGGAGGCAAACTACTTTCTGCAAATCCTATAGCCCCTTGTTATGTTCTATTTGCTGCTATGCTATCGAGATTACATTTCATTTCAGTCTAAAGGTGCTCTTGTCAATGAAAGACTTGAGGATAGATTAAAAAGACATAATTTTGTAAATGGTGAACTGAAAGATTCTCAAATAATCAGTTGGATTCTCCTTAAATCTGGTTCTTTGCATTCAAGAAGTCAAACCATTTAAGTTCTTTGATAGAGGTATTTCTTGGACTTGTGCCTTGAGCCACAAATATTGTAGGAAACTGAGAAGTTGGGAATATGGGATTCTCAAAGCGAATTCATGTGAGATTCAAATTATTTTCTTGCAGCAATAAATATTTATCTTTAAAAAGGAAGATGTGGCTGTTATGGAGAAGCTGAAAGTTGAAGTGATAGCAAACCCTTCCTTACCAGGAGAGATTGATGCAGTCTGAGGAACCTTCTCCATTAAATTTAGCCAACTCAATAGTTATTTCATTTCAGAATAATCTGTTTTTCTTTATTTCAGTCAGCTGGAAATTCTAATTTAGATTGGTTGTTCCATGATTCTAGTAGATTGCTGCCAAATTTGAATCCAAGTCTTTAATGTCATAATTCCTGGCGCCACATCATTTATTTAACTCTCATTAAACATTAAATTTAATGCCAAAAGACTTCATTGAAGTGATGACTGCAGTTAGAGTCAATTTTATGCCTAAAGATTTCATTAAATTCTATTTCCCATGTGATATGTAGTATTCTTGAGGTGACTAATCTAGATTGAATTATTAGCGCTATTAGATATGGTATTTTCCTCCTTCATACTTGAGTTGTATATGTGTTTCGTTGTTTTGTTAGGGATATGAAATGGCTAATTTGTATAAATCTTGTTCTTGTGGCGTTGATTTTATACTTAACCATTTATATGAGTAGGTTCAAGAATGATGTGAATGGTGCCTCTATTATCAATATGGAATAGTGACTACATTCTTGAAAAAGTTGTATGGATCCATTTTTTAATATGAAAATGGACGGGTGAGTTATTTTACTGTTGAAGTCATTTTTAAGGCTCATGTTTGCCACATTTTCTTGCAGTAAGCTGTGCTCAATTTATACTTGTGAAGATCAATCTAATTTGCTTTCTTTAGCCAAGTAGACATTTATGAGAAGATTTAATAAATGCTATTTTGTTCCCTCAATTTTCCTTGACAATGTTCAAAATAACTTTGTCCCCATATGCATGGAAGGGTGTGTGTTTCTGCAATTGTGATGAGTTCATGGTGTGGGTGGAAAGGAATCAAGTTTGGATGGGATATTTTTCAATAGTCATCAGGAAAGACACTGGAACTCTTTTTGGCTTTATATAATGCAGAGAGGTTGTGTAAAAAGCTTCAGACTTGTTTTTATGGTGTTATAGAAGTCAATAGTAGGTGAGATTTGCTTGTTCAATAGGTTCTGCTCTGGAATCCTAAATTTGTGCGTACTCTTTGGGATCGGGAATCAGAAGATCTATACTTTTGCTTAATAAGATTTATAGTATTCCAGTGAATTTAAGCCTAGAAGTACCTGGTGAAGTCCTAACCTAAGGTTTTGAAAGGTTTAGAGGTAGTGAAGCCCCTGGGATAAGTATTCTGTTTAGTTGTGCACTATTGAATGTGGGTTTTTAGATGGACGACTGCACATGTCTGGTGGCTCTATTTCCTTAGTGGAGATTTTAATGAGGGTTTTATGCTAGCCAGTGTTGTATGCAAGTGAGATGTGGAAACAGTGCAACACTTATTCTTCTGTTTGTCAGTTGCAAGGAAACTTTTTTCGTTGGCGTTATCTACTTTCATTTGGATTGGCTGAGTTCTAGTTCCATATCGGTGATTTATGGATGTTGGAGACAAGACCGTGTGGGTTGGCAACAGTATTGGTTTCAGAAGCTATTCCATTTTGTATTACTGTGTATTTTGGCACGAGGAGCATTTGATAGTTGAAGGATTAAATGGGTTGCTTTAAAGTGTCAAATGATATGAGATAAGCAATTGAAGTGAATATTTTCTTTTTACTTCAAAGTAACATGTCTCTGCCATTTTATCAAAATGGTGATTACACAGTTATGCTACAAGTATCATTGACATCTTTCTGCGCCATTTTGCGTTTTGTGTTTGTTTATCACCTAAAGAAATCTAATATTCATAATACTACTAGTTTTAATTGTCTAATGAATTGAAAATGCCTTTTTCTTCTTGTTAACAATGTGTTGATACAGAAATTTGCATCAACCAGAAAATTCTGATCGACCTTGACAGGACCAGAATGGATATATGTGTGATTGCGGGTAACCAGCATTAGACAAATATTAAGTGCAATAAAATAAATGGCAATAAGAATTTTAAAGTGGTTCGGTGAGGTAAACTCTTGAGCCTAAGTCCACTGTTTTTTGTATTTGCTGTGAGAGTTTACATTGTGAATTATGTGTCAAAGTTGTAACCCCTTTTTCATCTTTTATGAGGGTTTATATACAAGGTTTGTAAAAGGAAAAAACAAAAATAAAAGGATTACAATTGATCTGAACTGCAATTCCGATATTCTCGCAATTGGGTGTTGTGATCGCACAGAGATTGATGTTGATTTCGTCATTCCCGCAATATTTGGGATCTGAAGATATCTAGGAATTGATTGAATGATCAATCGAGTTGTTCGTGACTAGCTTATGTTGGGCTGAGCTATGTGTTAACGAGCTTGTGCTAGGTCGGACAACCGGTGGAGTTGAGCTGATTTTGGATCGAACTATATTCTAGTGGTAGCCCGAGCTTGGTGAAAAAATCACACACAACACAGTGCTTTTTATGAATCGCAGATTTGTTAGTTTATAGGCTACGGACTTGAAGAATCCAATGGATTCTGGTATGATAATTTATGAAGAATTTAATCAACTTGATAGGAAGGCAGTTAGTAAAATTGAATCATGTTGATGGCTTGTTTAATCCATCTCAAATACTTATCAACTCCACACAATCAGAGTGTTTGATCGTATTCGCAAACTTTTCCAGAGCTGGAAAAATTAAAATCTGGCATTAGCTTTACGCAAAGGTATCCCTCTTCTTGCTGTCACGTTTTTGTTGATTTTGTTTTTATTTGATGACGACCCTTATGCATTGCTTCACATTATTGTAGGCAGAATGTGCATTAGATCAATAGTCTATTATGTATATAGAAGATTTAAACGACTTTATAACAAATTTGAGTATTGGTCACTAGAGGTGGGCATTTGGGGCTGGGTCCAAAAACCTGGTCCTAGGAGGCCTGGTCCCAAAACNTGTAATTTTTTAAAAATTAAATTATTGTTGACGTCACCGGTCCAACCAACCGATTGACCTGTGACCTAGACAACAAAAAGGGTTGCCCTCCGGTCTGGGTTTTAAAACAATGCTTATCAACTCCACACAATCAAAGTGTTTGATCGTATTCACAAACTTTTCCAGAGCTGGAAAAATTAAAATCTGGCATTAGCTTTACGCAAAGGTATCCCTCTTCTTGCTGTCACGTTTTTGTTGATTTTGTTTTTATTTGATGACGACCCTTATGCATTGCTTCACATTATTGTAGGCAGAATGTGCATTAGATCAATAGTCTATTATGTATATAGAAGATTTAAACGACTTTATAACAAATTTGAGTATTGGTCACTAGAGGTGGGCATTTGGGGCTGGGTCCAAAAACCTGGTCCTAGGAGGCCTGGTCCCAAAACTGGATCAAGCCTAAGGAGGAGGGCCCGATCCCTCCACTGGGCCTTCCTCCAAGGTCCCAGGCCTAGGCCCAAACATTTTTAATTATTTTCTTTTTAGTCCCTTGTACAATTATTAAAATCCCTTATAAATTTTGAAAAAAACATAAATTATAAGGGTTAAAAGTAAATTTTACAAAATTAAAAAAAAAAAATTATAACTTTTGTTTAATAACCAACTATACTATAAATAAGAACCCAGCCCCCCCTCCCCCCGTTACTATACTATAAATAACCCTCAAATCTCTCATTTTCTCAATCTCTCTACTCTCTACTCCAAATCTCCAATCAAATTCTCATTTAATTTATATTTATATTTATAATTTATTCAAATAATTTATTTATATATTTATATTATTTAATTTTTTCTATTATTCAATATCATCTATTATTCATATTATTATTTATTTTTTTTTTCATTTTAATTATTTATTATTTGATCATAAATTCATAATGGATTCCTGAAATGATGCATTCGAAGGATCATCCCCAAATGAGTTTTACGTTCCATCCACCGAAGAAATAGAAGAGTTCAATCCATTTTCACCCTTTCCTCCAGAGGCAGCAACTGCAATTCCACAACTACATTCGGCCGGGATGAGGTGTAACCAAACACATGTGAGCTGTGAGTCAACGGGCACAAGCATAGCCCAACCCCCCTGACCTTCAAAGAGGGTCGTGTCCGATGTATGGCGACACTTCACCAAATCAAAACGGCCAAAGACAACTGGGAAGGGAGAAAAATTGTGTGGGGTATGTAATATCTGTGAAACCATTATTGGCGCTGAGAAGGGGACTTCGACGATGCGACGACACTTGGAGAAGAAGCACCCCCAAATAATGTAGTTGCCCGTTACATCTTCAACTGGATCAGATAGGCAAATTCAAACTCAACTTAATTTTAATCCACAATCCTTAACTCTCTCAACATGACAATACAATGCACATGTTGCACAAGAGGAAATAGCAAGATTCATAATTGCTACGGACTCTCTCATTTGTTTATCTGAAAATCTTTATTTTATTCACATGATTAAAACTGCATTTTGTCTAGCATATACCCTTGTTAGTAGAAGTATAAGTAGAAGAGATATACTAAAACTTTATAACAAAATAAATAATAAACTTAAAAACGAATTTCAAAATTTTAGGAATATATCTATTGCACTTATATCAGACATATGGGCTTGTAGATCAAAAACCGATTTTTTAGCTGTCACAGTACATTTCTTAGATCATAATTGGGGTTTACAACAAAAATTGATAGGTTTTAAACCATTATATGAAAAACATAGTGTTGAAACTATGTATTTTACAATTCTTGAAGTTTTGCAAGAATATCTATTAACTGATAGAGTTGTAACGCTAACGCTTGATAATGCAACTGCTAACACCGCGATAATCTCTTTATTTGAAAAGCGATTGGATCCGCATGGTGAAGACAATTTTTTTCACCAGAGATGTGCTTGCCACATCATCAATTTGATAGTTAAAGCAAGTTTAGATGCTATACATTCGAAGATAGAGAGGGTGCGCGCGACTATCGGATATATCGTTGGCGGTAGCAATAAAAGATGGTAGGAGTATGTCAAATATTGTAAGCAAGAGGACCCACCGGTTCGACCTTTGAAGTTATGTACGGACATGCCTATCCGTTGGAACTCCACCTACTTGATGTTGGAAAAAGCTTTGCCAACCGCAAAACAAATTACAGATTTCGTCAGCCAGAAGCACTATCCAGAAGAAGTTGTTAGCTATGATGATTGGACGGTTTGTAAACTTTTTTATTCATTTCTTAAATTTTTTTATGATTCTACTAATACATTAAGTGATATTTATTATCCGACTACTAATTTAGTGTTAGATATTTTACTTCCAATTGCTAAAACTTTTGCTAAATATAGATATAATGACGTTTTAAGGGAAATTGTTTCATAGATAGAAGAAAAATACGAGAAATATTGGTTCGATCTTCCATTCTTATATGGATTAGGCCTTGTTGTAGATCATATGTTTAAATTACACGTAGTTAACTGTATAATTATTGAGTTAGACCAACATTTAGGACATGATTATACGTCTTATTTGACTAACTTTAAGCAAAAATTGGATAACCTTTTTTCTTTATATGAGAACAGGTATAATGGAAGTGGAAGTGAAATGTTCATGAGAGACGATCAGGACCCTGATGCAGACCTCCGTCAAGGATCGAGCAAGTGGACGTATATGGGACATGGCAGAAGTAGCAGCTCTAGCTCGTACATACATGGACCAAATGAGTTGAATCGCTACCTACAAGTGGACCCGTCCTTCATGACGATGAAAGAGAAACGTGACATGGATATTCTTCAATGGTGGAACCAACATGAAAGTCGATTCCCCATTGTAGCCCAAATGGCACGTGACCTTTTATTTGTGCCAGTTTCTACAATTGCATCCGAGTCAACATTTTCAACGAATGGCCAAATTGTTGAAGACAAAAAATGTTCTTTAACCGATGAGATGATTGAAATGATAACGTGTTTACGGGATTTGACTCATGTAGAAAGAAGACTACAATAGCAGCCTGAAGATCCCGAACTACTCGAACTTTTTAGGAATACAGATTTGAATGATTTAAATATTGTTGACGATGAAGATGAATAGTTTAATAAAAAAAAATTTATTTAATTGTTTATTTGTGAAGCGTGAATGTGTGAAATGTGAATATTACATTTATGTTAAAATTAACTATTAATTAATTTATTATTTTTAAAATTAATTAAACTTTTAGAAACTTACTAATCTACCCCTAAAAAATACTAAGAACCCTCTACAGAATTTCATTTCACCCCTAAAATATAAAAAAAAGATTAGGGGGAAAAATAAAATTTCCAGGCCCATAGGACCGGTCCAGGCTTAAAATTGCTCATGGGCCTGAGACTAGTCCCAAGCCCACGAGGGACTGGTCCCAAATGGGACTAGTCCCAAACGAGCCCAGGCCCGAGCCTGCTTGGGACTGGTCCTTGACCACCTCTATTGGTCATTAAACTAGAAACTCATTTGGCAGGCGGGCATGTTGTGATGTACCAACTTAGAATATGTGATTCTTTGCATCTTTTTTTGTTTTTTTTGTTTTTTGATAATCAGGGTTGTCCGGACCAGCTTTGCGCACCTCAATTAATCCCCCGAGATCCTGGAATTACCGATTGGGTAAGAGCTCTAATGACTACCTCTATTAGCCGTCAAATTAGGATTTGTTGTGATCACCTGAAATTTATACATTTATGGAATGTTAGCAATTGCTGTAATATATTGATAATATAATGTTACTAATATTTATATTGATAATATTTTGATAATATAATGTTACTAATATTTATATTAAAACAATAATGTATTTGATCAAAATATCATTCGAGTAATGCTCTTGAAACTGTTCGGTATGAATTCTAATTAAGCTTTTTCATTATTGAATTTAAAAATAAGAAAAATACTACATTGACAATCTCTTTTCGTAAACTTTTTTTCATAATCCCAACGTGACAGCTCGCAATGAATCTCATATGATAAATTATGGTTAATCAATTACGAACTATTACATCAGAGTTGTGAGGAAAAGTTTGTGAGAAGAAGCTATGAGTGTAGTAGTACTCTAAAAATAAATATGTTCTTGTTGTGGGCTTTTTGGGTCTAAAAAATGGGAGACTAAAAGCCCATAGAGGCCCACTAAATTGAAGAAGCCCATTGTAACTGACACTAATTCCGAAAATTAAAAAATCGTTAAGATCGTCTCTAGTAGTCTCAACTAGACAGAACAAAAAAGAAAAAAAAAAGATCAACATTATCTCCGCGAAGTCTCTGTCCCGTTATCGTGTTTGGTTACCGAGAAAACTGAAGAAAATAAAATTTTAATTCTCTCCATAGTTTTCTTTGGATATGATGCCGATGAGTCTGGTTACAAACCATTGCAGTAGTTACAGCTCTCATTTTTCAACAATTTCAAGTTACAAGCCACAGCAAAGCAGCAGTACTCATGGCAAGTCACAGCCACTTTCGTCTCCATTAGTAACACTTCATGTGCTTGTTATATACTTGTTTATGTAAAGCTTTGTTGGTTCTATTTGTGGCGCAATTTAATTTTAAATTGTTTAAAATTTCTGTATGTTAGTCACACGCATGGTGCCCATTGTTGAGCGTCAGCAAAGCAGCTGCTTTCAAATTAGTGCATTTATCAGTAGCCTGGCAGGTATTTCTAAACACAATTCCCTTTTTTGGGTAAAGAAATTGTAGAATTATATTTGTCCTTTGATAGACATTGTGCGGGATATTTGGTGTAATTTTAGTAATTATGAACCCTTTTTTTTTTTTTTTTTTTGGTGTTGCAGTGACAAATTTGGCTGCAATTGATAGTGCGAAGGCTTTAACTACTCAGAAAGTCACGGTGAGAATTCTATGTGCTGGTTTTTGCATATTGTTTTCAGTTTTACCTTTAGAATTTAGGTTCTTACATTAAATCATTCTATACATCTTTTATTTGTAAATCAAGCTCAAGTCTGTAAAAATGAGCTAAGATTGATCTCAGATGCTTTGTTTCCAAAACCTCCTATCACCTTTGGCAGAGTTGCCTGCGTTAATGGGCTTCCTATTTGAAACCTGTTGCTTTTGAAATCTAAGTTAGTCTCTTTCTTGATTTCTTCGTGCTGTTGCATGCCCCCTAGGAGTTTTACATTGATCTTCTTTCTTTATGAAATCTATTTTTTGGTGTATAGTTTAAAATTTTATTTTGGCATCCGTGTAGTAGAACATGTAATTTTTTAAAATTTTGTATTTCTTTTTTACTTTTCTTGTATATAATCTCAGGAGCTAGAATTATTTTCCTTCAAGCCAGGAAGGAGCTGCTTCCGTTTATAACATGGCTGATGGAAGCCTTGGAGATCTGTTTGGTGGCTTCCTATATTCAGCTGGACAGCAGGCAAATGAAGCTGTTCAGGACCAATTATCAGCTCTCAGTTTCACCAGGTTTGCTTCTACACTTTGCTTGTTAAGTGCAGTTGTGTTGTTCTTTGTTCTTTATTATTATTATTATTATTATTATTATTATTATTTTGGTATTTTAATGGCCCGTGTTTTCTGTGTGCTTTTTGGTTCACCCTTATTCCTCTCCACAGTTTGGCAGTTATATTTGGGGCTGGGCTTGTGACCAGCCTATCTCCTTGTACACTTAGTGTTTTACCACTTACCCTTGGTTATATTGGTAAGCATGCATTTACAAACAATCTTGTGCAACATTTTTTTTTCTTTTCACAAATTATTCGTCGTTATTGTTTGCAACTGTATTGTTGTTTTGTTGCTGATTTATGGACTGGCTGAAATCATCCAGGTGCGTTTGGATCTGGCAAAAGCAGAGCACAAGTAATGACTTATTTATTCCTATACAGCTCTGCTACTTTTCGATTCCTGACTACTGTTGTGAAATCTTTGGATCATTTTTAAAGTGTTTAGTAGTTAGAAATATTATAAGTTACTTACCCAAAAAAAAAAAAAAAAAATATTATAAGTTAGTGCCAAAGTGTTAGTTCTTTTAACAAGAGGAGAAAAAAGAAATCAGTCTTTTTAACTGGAGGAAGAAAGAAGAAAGTACTATTGATGAAAAACTTCTAGAACTGAATGATGTTTTATGTGGAGCTGGAGGATATGCTGCCAATACCAAAATCATTGGCTACGGTTCTTTTTTATCCTGTTGTAAAGAAGAAATTAAAAAGTTTGTCTGGTTAGATCGGTCTAAGTGTTTATTTAAACAAAAATCCATACATTTTTTGGTACACACTTTTCTTAATTTTGTATGAATTCTTATATCTTTCTAGCTGTGAATTTTTTATGGAGGCTACAATGTGATACTCTGTCTCATATATAATAAATGTTATTGGCGATCAGATCATTGGGGATTCCATTGCATTTGCATTAGGATTGGCAACAACACTTGCACTCCTAGGTGTAGGAGCCTCGTTTGCAGGGAAGGCATATGGGCAAATTGGGAGGGGATTACCTTTGGCTGCTTCTGGTTTGGCTGTTGTTATGGGTCTGAATCTTCTTGAGGTACTGGTTAATAACTGTTCTGCTGGTTGTTAAACTCTACCTCTTAGGTGCTTACTTCTTCATAATATTTATATCAATCACATAAATTATATTCATTTCAAGAAGGGTTATAAGACTAAAATATATCTGCAAAAGTTCTAGTAAAATATAAATGAATTTTAAGACCTTTATTATTATTATTTTTTAACTAGTTTAATCTAATTCTCTCTCTCTCCTTCTCTCTTGTCAACTAATTCAATGGGATTTTTTTTCAGATAATTGAGTTGCAACTACCCTCATTTTTTGACAACTTTGATCCCCGTGCTGCTGCTGCTAACTTCCCATCAAGTAATCAGTTTATCATTTATGCTAGTTATCAAGAAAATTAATTTTCATAAACCTATTGTCTAATAGCTCTAACAACTTCCAATCTAAAAATATTTGAAATGTTAGGTGTCCAAGCATATTTAGCTGGATTGACCTTTGCATTAGCTGCTTCACCTTGCAGTACACCAGTGCTGGCCACTCTGCTGGGATATGTGGCTACATCCAAGGTACTTGAATTTCCTTAAAGTCTCATATTCTATTTAGTTTATGAGTATTTTCTAAATTGCAGATTACTGATAATTTATATGTAAATGTCAGCTTGGTTTGGTGGGATTGCTGCGTATCTATTTATGCACATAAACACACTTCCCCTTGGCAAAAGAAAATAGTTTTGCTAATCTGTCTGATGTATGCTTTGCTATGCCTAATAAGCCTAAAGCTTTCGTTCAAGTACTCAAAGAAGCCATTTTATGCAAAATACTGAATGATAGGACTTGTAACCAAAACACCCCTCTAAGACCCACCCTGCTTTTGGAGGTCCAGCACTCGGCAAGACCTTTTTATGTATGCTATGCATTTAGCAGAATCAGATAAGAGGATTCAACACATAAATGCATTATAGGTTTGGCTTACTGGGTTTTTCAAAGGCAAAATGTTTCCTCTGTTTGCGTTGGAGAACTGATCAAATGCTATTGGATGATTTTTTCTTCTATTCCTCTGAAATTTTGGATGTGTTCTGGAGTTTATGTGGAATAAATGTTGGGGAGAGCCAATTTCATATTAAATTGTGGGTGGAGGTTGCACTTGTGGCAAGAACTAGAAAGATGCCATAAACTCCCTTAATTTATTTCATTAATTAGTGTATTAAAGTTTTGGTGAACCACATCATTTGCAAATGGGAGTCTTTATTTGTTTGTTGATGGTTCACTTTTGTAGTTATGGCTAAATAGATGGCAATGTGACATGTTTGACAGGACCCAGTGATTGGGGGAAGCTTACTATTGACGTACACAACTGGCTATGTTGCTCCTCTACTTCTTGCTGCCTCTTTCGCTGGAGCATTGCAGGTTCATGGCGTTTACTTGTTTTTTTTTAATCCCTGTTGGAATAAGATAGGAAAAGTTGCTACAGTTGTCTGACTTGAATATTTTCTTTCCCAAATTATGGTTCTTCTAGACAGCTGCATCTCTTATCCTTTTCCTTTCTTTTTTTTCTTTCTATTTTTGCATTCTCTTATGTACTTCCTATTTAGTATCTTTGGGTTTATTTTAGTGGTTTTATCTCTTTTCAACCTGCTTTATGTGTTTGGGCTGTTGAATTGAAACTGACATATTGCCTTGTATTTGCCTTTTTTTTTTTTTGGCAAAAAATAACTTATTCTATGTGTATATTTCTTCAGAGCCTGCTTTCGTTCCGCAAATTCTCCTCATGGATCAATCCAGTGAGGTACTCTTAATATATTCTGCATTGTTGGCTGTTGCCATAGGAACTGACTTCCTTTTCAGCACCCAGTATTGTTTTCATGGTCATCATGTTGCTCACAATTGGCATCTATTTTTCACGAAAAATGACCTCATTCTCATTTCTCTTAAATTCCTTGTTTTTAACGGGTTTATATCTTACTATTTTCTGCAGCGGTGCACTTCTCTTGGGAGGAGGTGTCTACACTTTCTTGGATAGGCTTTTCCCCCCCACCATGTCAATGTAGAGAAAATACTCTTGCATTATTGAGAGAGAGGTATTGTACAGAAAAAGTTAAAATTAAGAAATAAAATATTACTATGTTTACTATTGTCAGCAGCACAATCATTCTGGTGCCCACTCTTGTAAATGACTCATTCAATTAATTATGAGAACAAAGCATCTGTCTCATCTCTGGTCATTTCAGTGCTTCATTAGACACGATGAGCTCAAGTGTATACAATCTTATAGAAACATTTGAATAGTAAGAAAAAACATGTTATTTGTGAAAAAAACATGCACCCATTTGACGATTGCTATCTATATATGAATATCCCTTTCCATATTCTTTTTTCTTTTTGCTTTTAAGTATGTTGTTGAATCCAAGTTCTTATCCCCCTCCACTACACCAGCCACCTGTTCTGCTGTAAAGTAAACAAGTTGGTAAGATTCTGATGTGATGTAAACTGGAGAAGTAGTATCTGGAAGAAATTTTAGTTGCTCAAATCAAATGGTCCAGTTTCAGGATTGGATCCAACTCTTTTTCAACCAATTTTGGCAATGCTTTCATCAGTTGACATGGGAAAGAGATAAGATCATTTTATACTTACTCAGAACTTGATGATGCAATGAACATCACCGACTCAGCAGAAGCAATGTGTCCACTTTAGCAGTAAAGTGGCTCATCATTATAAGCTGGTGGTGTTGTGACAATTGGGATGGTTTCGGATACTTCCAGAGATAGATATAGAAGTAGCATTAGTCTAAAACTTCCATGAATATTTGCTAAAAAATTCTTAGCTTATCATGGCTAATTGCCTAATTGGGTTGTTTTTGATAATATTGACAAACGGTTGAGGAGTCGGAAGAGGGCAGGCTGGCAGGCGTTGTAGCTCGGTTGGTGAGACAGAGAGACAAGAGGAAACTAGCAGATATATTTTAGCCTAATGTAACAGACGCTATAGCAAACAAATCTATTAACACAGATATGGCTAAAAAATAGTATGGCTTATTCAAGGCTCACATTACGCTACCAATTAATAAATATATAACCATATGTCGATAACAAATAATAATGTTGAACTTATAATATGATATTTCAATAAAAAAGTAACTATGATATTAACAATTTTCATTCAGAAAATCTCCTAATTTCTCTCTTGGTCACACTCACATGAATTTATGCTTGAGTTTAGAGGAGAAAAAAGAAATCAGTCTTTTTAACTGGAGGAAGAAAGAAGAAAGTACTATTGATGAAAAACTTCTAGAACTGAATGATGTTTTATGTGGAGCTGGAGGATATGCTGCCAATACCAAAATCATTGGCTACGGTTCTTTTTTATCCTGTTTTAAAGAAGAAATTAAAAAGTTTGTCTGGTTTGAATGGTCTAAGTGTTTATTTAAACAAAAACCCATACATTTTTTGGTACACACTTTTCTTAATTTTGTATGAATTCTTATATCTTTCTAGCTGTGAATTTTTTATGGAGGCTATAATGTGACACTCTGTCTCATATATAATAAATGTTATTGGCGATCAGATCATTGGGGATTCCATTGCATTTGCATTAGGATTGGCAACAACACTTGCACTCCTAGGTGTAGGAGCCTCGTTTGCAGGGAAGGCATATGGGCAAATTGGGAGGGGATTACCTTTGGCTGCTTCTGGTTTGGCTGTTGTTATGGGTCTGAATCTTCTTGAGGTACTGGTTAATAACTGTTCTGCTGGTTGTTAAACTCTACCTCTTAGGTGCTTACTTCTTCATAATATTTATATCAATCACATAAATTATATTCATTTCAAGAAGGGTTATAAGACTAAAATATATCTGCAAAAGTTCTAGTAAAATATAAATGAATTTTAAGACCTTTATTATTATTATTTTTTAACTAGTTTAATCTAATTCTCTCTCTCTCCTTCTCTCTTGTCAACTAATTCAATGGGATTTTTTTTCAGATAATTGAGTTGCAACTACCCTCATTTTTTGACAACTTTGATCCCCGTGCTGCTGCTGCTAACTTCCCATCAAGTAATCAGTTTATCATTTATGCTAGTTATCAAGAAAATTAATTTTCATAAACCTATTGTCTAATAGCTCTAACAACTTCCAATCTAAAAATATTTGAAATGTTAGGTGTCCAAGCATATTTAGCTGGATTGACCTTTGCATTAGCTGCTTCACCTTGCAGTACACCAGTGCTGGCCACTCTGCTGGGATATGTGGCTACATCCAAGGTACTTGAATTTCCTTAAAGTCTCATATTCTATTTAGTTTATGAGTATTTTCTAAATTGCAGATTACTGATAATTTATATGTAAATGTCAGCTTGGTTTGGTGGGATTGCTGCGTATCTATTTATGCACATAAACACACTTCCCCTTGGCAAAAGAAAATAGTTTTGCTAATCTGTCTGATGTATGCTTTGCTATGCCTAATAAGCCTAAAGCTTTCGTTCAAGTACTCAAAGAAGCCATTTTATGCAAAATACTGAATGATAGGACTTGTAACCAAAACACCCCTCTAAGACCCACCCTGCTTTTGGAGGTCCAGCACTCGGCAAGACCTTTTTATGTATGCTATGCATTTAGCAGAATCAGATAAGAGGATTCAACACATAAATGCATTATAGGTTTGGCTTACTGGGTTTTTCAAAGGCAAAATGTTTCCTCTGTTTGCGTTGGAGAACTGATCAAATGCTATTGGATGATTTTTTCTTCTATTCCTCTGAAATTTTGGATGTGTTCTGGAGTTTATGTGGAATAAATGTTGGGGAGAGCCAATTTCATATTAAATTGTGGGTGGAGGTTGCACTTGTGGCAAGAACTAGAAAGATGCCATAAACTCCCTTAATTTATTTCATTAATTAGTGTATTAAAGTTTTGGTGAACCACATCATTTGCAAATGGGAGTCTTTATTTGTTTGTTGATGGTTCACTTTTGTAGTTATGGCTAAATAGATGGCAATGTGACATGTTTGACAGGACCCAGTGATTGGGGGAAGCTTACTATTGACGTACACAACTGGCTATGTTGCTCCTCTACTTCTTGCTGCCTCTTTCGCTGGAGCATTGCAGGTTCATGGCGTTTACTTGTTTTTTTTTAATCCCTGTTGGAATAAGATAGGAAAAGTTGCTACAGTTGTCTGACTTGAATATTTTCTTTCCCAAATTATGGTTCTTCTAGACAACTGCATCTCTTATCCTTTTCCTTTCTTTTTTTTCTTTCTATTTTTGCATTCTCTTATGTACTTCCTATTTAGTATCTTTGGGTTTATTTTAGTGGTTTTATCTCTTTTCAACCTGCTTTATGTGTTTGGGCTGTTGAATTGAAACTGACATATTGCCTTGTATTTGCCTTTTTTTTTTTTTGGCAAAAAATAACTTATTCTATGTGTATATTTCTTCAGAGCCTGCTTTCGTTCCGCAAATTCTCCTCATGGATCAATCCAGTGAGGTACTCTTAATATATTCTGCATTGTTGGCTGTTGCCATAGGAACTGACTTCCTTTTCAGCACCCAGTATTGTTTTCATGGTCATCATGTTGCTCACAATTGGCATCTATTTTTCACGAAAAATGACCTCATTCTCATTTCTCTTAAATTCCTTGTTTTTAACGGGTTTATATCTTACTATTTTCTGCAGCGGTGCACTTCTCTTGGGAGGAGGTGTCTACACTTTCTTGGATAGGCTTTTGCCCCCCACCATGTCAATGTAGAGAAAATACTCTTGCATTATTGAGAGAGAGGTATTGTACAGAAAAAGTTAAAATTAAGAAATAAAATATTACTATGTTTACTATTGTCAGCAGCACAATCATTCTGGTGCCCACTCTTGTAAATGACTCATTCAATTAATTATGAGAACAAAGCGTCTGTCTCATCTCTGGTCATTTCAGTGCTTCATTAGACATGATTAGCTCAAGTGTATACGATCTTATAGAAACATTTGAATAGTAGTTAAAAACATGTTATTTGTGAAAAAAACATGCACCCATTTGAGGATTGCTATCTATATATGAATATCCCTTTCCGTATTCTTTTTTCTTTTTGCTTTTAAGTATGTTGTTGAATCCAAGTTCTTATCCCCCTCCACTACACCAGCCACCTGTTCTGCTGTAAAGTAAACAAGTTGGTAAGATTCTGATGTGATGTAAACTGGAGAAATAGTATCTGGAAGAAATGTTAGTTGCTCAAATCAAACGGTCCAGTTTCAGGATTGCATCCAACTCTTTTTCAACCAATTTTGGCAATGCTTTCATCAGTTGACATGGGAAAGAGATAAGATCATTTTATACTTACTAGGCAATGAACATCACCGACTCAGCAGAAGCAATGTGTCCACTTTAGCAGTAAAGTGACTCATCATTATAAGCTGGTGGTGTTGTGACAATTGGGATGGTCTGAGATACTTCCAGAGATAGATATAGAAGTAGTATTAGTCTAAAACTTCCATGAATATTTGCTCAGAAATTCTTAGCTTATTATGGCTAATAGCCGAATTGGGTTGTTTTGGATAATATTGACAAACAGTTGAGGAGTCAGAAGAGGGCAGGCTGGCAGGCGTTGTAGCTCGGTTGGTGAGACAGACAGACAAGAGGAAACTAGCAGATATATTTTAGCCTAATGTAACAGACGGTATAGCAAACAAATCTATTAACACAGATATGGCTAAAAAATAGCATGGCTTATTCAAGGCTCACATTACGCTACCAATTAATAAATATGTAACCATATGTCGATAACAAATAATAATGTTGAACTTATAATATGATATTTCAATAAAAAAGTAACTACGATATTAACATTTTCCATTCAGAAAATCTCCCAATTTCTCTCTTGTTCACTCTCACATGAATTTATGCTTGAGTTTGGCTCTTATCTTTTTTTATTGGTTTGGTGACCGGATGTCTAACCCAATTTGAGTGCAGCTCAACTAATTTTTTATAGTCTTGAAGTGAACGACGGGTAAATTTTTTCGATAGTCATTCCTATTAGGGCTTAACGGCTGGGAAAACTTAAATTTAAAAACTCATGTTGAATTCCTTTGCTCTTTTAGTTTGATACTATCTTCTCTTGGTTACTTTTATTCCCTCCTATAAGGAGATTGATGGTCGTTAAAAACTACAACACAATCCAAAGCCATTTCTATTTGAAGCCAAAATTTCTGCTCCTTAACATACATATATATATATATATATATAAAGATCACACAGAGAGAAACTTAAAATCCATATAATAATGTTTGATAAATAGGAATGCTAGAAATACACAAAACATTTTCTCATGAGAATGAGAATTCTTAGTAATCCTTTATTTTACAAGCAGCGACAAGAAAGAAAATTTCGATGATAACATAATTAACATTAGGCTTTTTTTACAGTGAAATTTAACAAAGGAAAATTAAACTAGTTGCTATTCAATATTCATCAATGGCTCGATAAGTAAACTTGTCGAAAGATCAAACATATCGATATCCATATCATCATTTCGTATCACAGGATTTTCCTCAAACTGTATTGATCCTGATTTTGTAGCTGATCACGATCGTCAATCCCCCGTCAATGATGATTAGTTCTCAAGGTCATGGACAAAATCGTAATTCTTTCTAAACAGCTCCACGTCTTATCATCTCATTATATTGTTCCACCGATCTTTGTCTCTGCAACCTCATTTCCTCGTTAAACTTCTTAATGAACGCCTCGACACGGCGGTTCAACTCGTCCTGACTCAGCGACGGTTCTCTTTTCACCCTGGCCGGATTATCGCTGCTGTTTTCCGCCGTTGTCGTACGGTCACTGAAGGTCTCCGCTTTCTTCATTTCAGGCGGAGGTGGAGGCGTCTTCTGGCGGCGCAACTGCGTGTCCCACGTGTCCGACTTCTTCAGGTGTCTGGTTAACGGCATTGCTCGCCCCTCCGTTATCGTCTTCCACGTGCTCTCCAGCGTGTCCTGCCGTTTCGCCTTCGACACTTTCAATATCGCCTTCCCACCTGAACAAAATTAAATTTAATATTTTTTTTTCGGTTCTGAAAACAAAATGTTTTCAAATATTTTATTCAATAAAAGAAAATTTAATGACGTTACCTTCAGGATTTGCTTTCACAGCTTTCTTATGGCTAAACCTTTTTGAAACCGTCGGCTTTTCTTTCCCTTTCTCTTTATCTTTCTCGTACAAATCCAACAATTCCATAGACTCACTCCTCTCTGGCGGCCTCACAGCAACCACTTCATCTCCACCATCCATCATCACTGGCATCTCATCACTCATCATCTTCTTCTCCTCCTCCTTTTCCACCGTTGGATTGATATAACCATAGCCAAGAACATACTCGTTTCGTACATGATCACCTGATACTACTTTCTCTTGAGTACCCACCAAAACTTGGGCCGAAACAGTTGAAAGAGTATCGTGACTTTCGTGGCTGTGTTGTTGAAGCTTGGAGGAGGCGACTATGGAGATTATGATACAGTTGATTACTAGATAAAGATACGGAGGCTTTAACCACTGTAACATAACGTTCCAAAAACCAGGAACATCTGATGATACAAAGTCTGATATAAATGGAGCTGAGTTTTTCAAAAGGATACCAATCGACAACACACAAGTTGATATCAAACCCACCTTAAGAGTCAGTATTACGTTCCCAGAATTCGAAAATTTTGACATTCTTTTGGTTTATAACATAAAAAGCTCAAGAATTTATCAAGAATGAAAATTTGTAAGTGTCAAGGGGGAGAGAGTTGAGAAGTTAAGGTGAAAGAGAGTGAGAGAAAATGAAGTGAACATACAGGTTTGTGTGGGTTTAAATCGAGGATTTCTGGGGGAGTGGAGGAGAGATGTGTGATAAAATTGATTGGGGGCCGTTGGATTTGGAGAAAAAGGTTGCAGGAAGGTGTTCCACGTAGATGTCCGTTGGATCAGGAGGTGACACGTGTGCGGGGGTTGGGTAATTTGGCTTTTCCCACATGGCATTTTTGGGTAGTGTGATACAGTTTTACTATTGACATGTTGCTATTAATTTCAACATAAAGCACAGATGAGATGCCGCTTGAGTTTTTGTTTTTGGGTTTTTTTTTTTTTTTTTTTTAATACCCATCAGTTTTTACGTGTCTCAATTATTCTTTCAAGGTGTTAAAATAAACGATTTGATAAATTTCATTAATAACCACTCTTATTACTCTATTAGTGACTTAAAGAGACTCGAATTCAAAAATTCATATTAGATTGTTTTATTCTTTTACCATCAAGTCATCTAATAGTATTAAAAAAAAAAAATTTCTAATAATTCAAAAAGATATGAAGGTGGTTTTACATAAAATATATATATTATATGGTGGTTGGATCTTGCTAGAATTATAGGTTGAAGTGTCTTTATTAGTGTCCCTGTCTTGTTTCCAAAATATCAGCCTTAGGGCTATCTCATATGTATTTACCTTTTTTTTATTTTTTTTATTTTTTTGTAAATGGGGTGTCTGAGTCAGTTTGAACGTATCTCAACTAATTTTTTGGGGCACGACTAAATAAATTCTCTTAGTAGTCACCTGTATTAGCGCATGGTTGAGACTCAATCTCATAAACTCATATTGATCCACTTTGTTTAATATTTACCATTTTTCTGAAAGCAAAAAGAGCCCTTCACCATTTTCATAACTATGATTTGGTTTAATTAACTTAATTCTGCAATTTCCGAGAATGAAAATCCCTTGCAACCAACCAACACTAACACATGGGTCAAGGGAATAGCATACTATAACAACACAGACAGAAAATGATTTTCAAAATGTTAAAAACAACTTGATTTACACTTCAAGTTGGCTTCAAAAACTTATCTTTTAGCTGTCATGTCTATTGGACGTAGAGCCTTCTCTTGACCAAATATCTTTTTCTTTTACCATTTCCAGTGGAGCAATGGTCTTAATTTAATCTAAAATCTAAAATGTTGCCGTGTTCCATGTTGTCTCTGGACGTGGTTTAAAGGTTATTGAGTAAAAATCAAGGTTTACTTATAGTAATCTTCCTAGAGAAACTAAAAGAAGAAAGAAAAACAACTTTTCATATTCTAATCCATATACTTATTGTTGCCAGAAACCCCCAGTTGACTGTTTCGTTTAGAAAGGTCTCTGGATCCTAAATCCCCGGCCAGGGGTGGTCGGTGTTTTGAGCCTCCCATGTGCAGAACACGGTTGTGGCTGCAGCCCTTACTGACCACAATTTCGAGTAGAAAAATACAAAGGGCCATTAATGAAAGGAATAGTCGGTCAATGGTAATGGCAAAATATGAATATGTCTTTACGTTATTTTTGTCTTATTTAGAAGATGGTTTCTGATTTGTTTAGTTGGGAAAACATTGCATTTGATGCCATCTTGCACTCAAGTGAGTTGAATATGCTCCTCAATATCTTACTGTTTTAGATTCTACTGTTAAAGTAATCATACTTTCTGGTATTTCTATTAATATCAGAATATTTAAATGTGGATGTACACAATTGTTTTAACTTTAAATTGTCGTTAAGACTTGGACGACGTTAAAAGCATTAAGAAAATAAAATTTTTACAGTTTTTACTAAAAAAAAATTCATTAAATTTGTCTTTATTAATGTTATCTAATAATTAAGATTGATTTATTATTATTATAATTTTTATAATAGAGACGTTCATTGGAGAGATCAATAATGTATTTATATTTTCATCTATAAATAAGTACATTGATTTACAATTATCATATAGAGTTTATTTGTATTTGGATTTAATTTGTTATTTTGTGGTGTGATTTTTATATGAAAATAATTAAATTTATTAGGAGCAAGATTAAAGTGTATAAACTATCTCTTGGTGGTCGAATGGTTTGATAAGGACTCTCAGATTTATTACTCAAGAGATCTTGAGTTCGAGTCTTTCCTCAGTTGTTAATAAGAGTTGACATTGGAACTCTTATCCGGCAGATGGTTCCAAGGTCCTAGGGGATTAGTTGAGGTGTGATTAAACTGACTCGAACACTCCCAATCATAAAAAAAAAAAAAAAAAAAATTAAAGTGTATAATGAAAAATGAAACTTGTGAACCCCAAAGGTGTTGGCCTAATAGTTAAGGAAGGAGGTTTGCTTTATTTCTTAAGTTCATTGATTCAAACCTTGGGGCTAATATAATATTGTGGTTTACCTGGTCCTTTAGACTTATGGGTATTTAATGAATCTCGGACATTAGTTGAGATACGCACAAACTGACTCGATCACTCGATTAAAAAAAAAAAAAAAAAAAAAAAAAAACTTGTGTTATAGTGTGAACGATGGATCGACCAAAACAAAGTCTACAAATCAGAGCAATTAATAAAAATTGAACAACATGTGGACTGCTCATGTGTTTGGTCAAGTATAAACTTATTTACATTCAATGAAAGAACAAATTATTTCTTTATTGCATTCATGAGGAATATACTTTAATATGTTACCTCAGTTTGTGACAAAATAATCTGTTCACACAGCACTCACATTATTTAATTTTTCCAGTTAGCATCTGATCTGGTTCCCAAAATAAACAGTTTAATTATAGTTGTACAAACGTGGATTCATAAAACTTCCCAAATGGTCAATAGCATAAAATAATACTTGAATGGCAAGAAAACTCCAGGCAATAATTAAGTTTGGCAAGAATTGGGTTTGCATTGATGGACTATAGCAAGTATAACCTTTTATGGAGGGAAATGAAATGAAAATTTGCAGAAAACTTGACCCTTTTGAATACGTAAAGTTGCAGAGATTTTGTATGGTCAGTTATGGCTTTTCTTCTGTTTGCCAAGACTTGTCCAGCCAGACAGCTAGCGAGAGGGTGAGCAATTTGCATATGCATGATTACACTATGAAGCTGAAATTTCTACAGAAATGTGTGCGATTATAACGTCACAACCAACCTAATAATTGGCCGCAATTTGATCTTCGATTTCTGAATTTTGTTTGTTAATATAATATTTGACATTGTGGTCAATCGATGAGCCCGCCAAGTGAAGTAAGTGACGATTGTTGAAGCTTTTGATTTGATGATACAAATTTAAGGTCGTCTATGGGGTGGTGGTAGACTCTGATTTTGACTCAAGAAATTATTAATCATATATATATCCAAATTTGGGGTTGTTAAATTCTTTGACAAATTGATTGTAGGCTTTTTGAATTTCAAGGTTTAGGTTGATGATTATTGATTTCTGAATACTAATATGTTACTTGTATGGATAAACAAGTTATTCTGGTTTGTTTTTATCAATTCATTTCTTTTTTATTTAATATTTATAATATTAACGTTTAACTGTCATGAGAAAAAGTTTTTTTTTTTTTAAATAATTAGTAATTTAAAAAAATATTCTGGTAACACGTATATTAATATGAACATTTGTTATTTAGATATGAATCAAAATAATTTAACTCCGGAAAAATCAATTAATTTTAGTTTGAGACATGACCATGCTATTATTGATTATAATAAGTAGTTGAGTGACAAAACTGTAATGAGTGTAATTTTTTTTTTAATTATTATTATTATCAGATCAGTTTACGTGTATTTTAATTAATCTTTTCAGATCTTAAAATTATCGATCGAGTTTATGTATATTTCAATTAATCTTTTAAAATTTTAAAATTATCGGCTGAATAAGAGTTTTGATAATCACCCTTACAAAGTAATTAATATCATATTAACCTTATCTAATCACACCATTTTTTTCATAATTACAAGTAAGTTCGAAGTCTATATAAGTTAGAACCCTCCAACACACGTGGCAGCTTTTGACCTGAAAAGATTGAGATGATGATCTGAACACCTTTGACTTGGTAGGCAGAACCAACGAATCACAAAGGAAGAAACTGATTTCTGTTCTACTACCACCTGATACAACCGCCCAGCGGTTGGATGAGTGACAAGTATGATTATCTCTTTTCAAAGAGTTTTGAGTTTTTAAAAGTCCAGAATTTACGCCTAATTTTGGTCGGCATTATTGTGTGCTATTGAATTTTGACCCTATACCAAATCCTAACAGAACAAAGAAGCCTCAAATGATTGGCAGGGAACTGTACATCTGGCAAGTTTTGAGCCTATCAAAAGGCTTTTATTATTTCTTTTTCTTTTTCTTTTATTTTCCAAGTTGTATTTCAGTTATTGAGAAAAGTTTTGGTGGGCTAGGCCGGTAACAACTATCTCCATTAGTGGTTTTTATATATGAATATTACAATAACTAGTATTTAGTTTTGTTATTTAGATTTGTAGTGTTTGTGTGTGTATAGAGTTACAATGTGCAAAGCGTGACTTGTTAGTTGTTACTATTGGCATGCGGAATGAGATAATCTACTTTTCATTTTTCTTTATTGCATCATTATTATAATATTTTATATTCATTACACATTTTTTTAAATAAACCTTGTATTCACTTAAAATACAACAACTTAATATGTATAAACAATTCAATTCAATTGATTACAATTCTTGTTCTCTTAAGGGGCGTTTGGTTCAGAAAATGTTAAATTACTGGGAATGTTATATTAATAGAAAAATAGATTATCTTGAAGATTACTGAGAATGTTTAGGAAAATGTGTTTGGTTGGTTAAAATAAATTGGTAAGTATGTATATTATATTGATATGTTTGGTTGAGAGAAATAAATTGGTAAGTACGTTGTATAGATTACTAAATTGTCCTCCTTTTTAAATATTAATATAACATTATTTTTTGAATCATTTATTTTAAACCTTATATTTGAGATTTTGCTAAAACACCCAAGTCATATAGAAGTTTAATTTGTAACA